AGCTCTCTAATTTTGAGCGATGTCGTAAATTTTTTTACAGATTTTGAAAGTTAACGTCCAGTTTTTTACAACTTCGTTGCAGGTTGCACATTATCAGTATAACATATGACAGTTTCTATCCAAATATCTCGTCCGAATTACTCGTAATTATACTGGTTTTGGTGACAGTACAAGTCGAAGCTCTATTTCTTCAACTAAATATGTAATATGTCATTCGCGATCTTTCTGGTCGAGTATGTTTTTTTAGTTTAAAAACGGGTTTAAAAATGAGGTTATGAATGAATTCACCCATTCAATGTGATAAATGTAGAAGCTGGGCTGCCAAAATTAGATTTTTTGTATCGGATTATATAATTTATTGCTAATATACGTAGACAATAGACACAAGATATCCAAAGCATGGATAAATAAAGCAAACAATTAAAATTTTTAGAGTTAGTAATTTGAAAATTTGCTTCTTCCAATTTCACCATAAATTTCGACCCTCAATGTGGCTCCAACTACGTGTATTTTGACCATAGGGAGAAACAAGTGTTGCATTTAAAAATTCAACTGAGTTTGGTTTGAAAATTGTATCAATCACGCTTTCAACACTCTAAAAGATCATGTTGCAAATGTTACAATATTGTATATTTTCTTACATAAGGACAGGAGAAATTAATGACAGATGACAGACAGATGGGGTCATGAAATGTCGAGAAAGCATAAAAGTAGCCAGTCGTCAGATGGACTTTACTTTACAATACTTCCTTAGCTTTCGCTCGGGAAGAAAAAGATTATAGAAAACAATTAAACCACTGGGAAGATATTTCGTTGTTTAAATGGACACAACATTGTTAATTTTTGGTCATTTCATTCCGAGGATCAGGTTGATCTACAAAAGTACTATTTCCCATCCAAAATTTGTCCCTAATAAATTTATTAAATACAGATTCATTTTTGTCCAAAAAATGTGTATAGTTTATAACATGATCTCAACAAGTTCTTGTTTCGATTTCAAAATTTTTTGTAATCACGCCCTTGTCCGCTTTACTCTAGCTAATTGGCTATGGGATTATGAACAATCGCACAGAGGAGGCGGAGAACTCTAATATCCATCGCTACACTCCTAATTCATTATGTTACTTAAGAATTAATTTCTCCTGTTCTTATGTAAGGAAAAGTACCAAATCTACTAAAACCTGCTAAAATAAGACCGATTTTGGCAAATGAGATCCCTGTAAGAAAATAGAGAGTGGATGGGCGAGGTTAGTACGTGCTAAAATAAGATCGATTTTAGCAAATGGCATACCCCCTAAGAAAATAGGGAGTGGGTGGGCGGGGCTAGCACCAGCTAAACTAAGACCGATTTTGGCAAATGACATACCCTCTAAGAAAACAGAGGGTGGGTGGGCGGGGCTAGTACCTTTTAAGACTGAATTATGTAAATTAAATATTCTGCAAGAAATTAGAGGGCGGGCGGCTGGAGCTAGTACCTGGTAAGATAAGACTGATTTTAGCAAATGCCGTATCCTCTAAGAAATTTAATTACATTATTGTAAGAAAAAACACTAAAGGCTCCAAAGCACTTTCAAATTCTTTCCAAACAGGAATACCTAGAACCTCAAAATTGTTTTAAATTTTTCAAAAAAAGACGGTTTCCCAAAATCAATTCAATGACTGTCTCTCGAATTAAAAAAAAAACACTTCGGCACTCAAGACATTTCCAAAATTCATAAAAAATAAAACACTCAAAGCTCAAAAGATTTTTTCAAATTCAACCAGCACCGGATTCCTTTAAATTTATCCGAAAATAAAACATCAAAGTTCTAAAATTATAACTACGAACATTTAAAATAGGGTTTTGAAAACTTTGACAATTTTTGATACCTCAAACATTTTTAACTGCTTACTCGATTTTTGCTGATTCGTACATTCGCTTTATATCAGGCAAACATTGTACTTAGAGTCCATTAGGAGATCTACATCACAGAACTGTTTACATTGTGTTAAATGAGTACCATTGATGTTGTAATAAAATTCATTTAATTTTGATATTCTATCAAATTTCATTATTTTACATTTAACCCTATTAACTTATTAACACTATCAAAATAAGTGATTTAGATTTTGCTGCAAACGAAGGCAGTCCATGAAAGACTTTATTTCACTTACAATCAAGAGATTGCAACATCATTGAACAACTAAACAAAAAATAGAAGACCCAAATTTGACCCTTGCATAACACCACTATTGGCATGAAAAAAATTAGATCTGAAACCATTGCATTCAACATAGTGAGCTCTGTTTGCAATAACGGATTTCAATAACAAAATTAGCTCATCACAAATTCCAAAAGTTCTAAGTCAAAGCAGAACACTTTCTTTCCCTGGTGTAACTTTCAAATCTGTATTGACGTTTAAATATTAAAAACATAAAAAAATCGAGTGAACAGTTAAAAATATTTGACGTATAAAAAATTGACAAAGTTTTCACGTTTAAAATGTTCGCAGTTAATTTTAGGTCCCCTATATATTTTTTTTAATTCGAAAGACTCTTGGGTCCCATGGTGTATTATTTTGGGAGCCCTTGGATAATTTTTTGTAAATTATTTAAAACAATTCTGGGGGACTTCGGTGTTCTATTTTTGGAAAATTCTGACCTGGCCTGTTTTTGAGTTAAATTTGAGACCCCGTTTTTCTTTTTGAAAAATTTAAAACAATCTTAGTACTAGCCCTCTAAGAAAATAAAGCGGATGGGTGGGGCTAGTGCTTGCCAAGATACGGCTGAATTTGGCAAATGATATACCCTCTAAAAAAGTAGAGGGCGGGTGGGTGGGGCTAGTACTAGCTAAGATAAAACTGATATTGCCAAATGGTATACCTTCGAAGAAAATAAAGGGTGGGTGGGCGGGGCAAATACTTGCCAAGATCAGACTGATTTTGCCAAAAGATATAGGATACTAGTCTCAGCCGCCCGCCCTCTATTTTCTTAGAGAATATGTCGTTTGCCAAAATTAGTCTTATATTAGTAGGTACTAGGACCGCCCACCCACCCTCTCTTTTCTTAGAGGGTATGTCATTTGCAAAAATCGGTCTTATTTTAGCCGCTACTAGAAACTGAAACTAAAATTAATAAATTAATTATATGGACAAGACAAGAATTTTGAACACCTTCTGTAGTGTTTAGTTATACCTTCGTAGAAAATAAAAGGTGGGTGGGCGAGACCAATACTTGCCAAGATGAGACTGATTTTGCCAAATGATATACCCTGCACTTTTCATTTTCTTAGAAAGTGCGTCAGTTGGCAAAATCAGTCTTATCTTAGTTAGTATCAGCCCCGCCCACTCGCCCTTCATTTTCTTAGAGAGTAGGTCATTTGCCAAAATCAGCCTTATCTTAGCAGGTGCTAGCCATCCACCCTCTCTTTTCTTAGACGGTATCTCATTTACCAAAATCAGTCTTATCTTAGCAGGTGCTAGCCCCGCCCACCCGCCCTCTATATTCTTAGAGTGTATCTCATTTGCCAAAGTCAATCTTATTTTAGCAGCTACTTTAATTACATCAATCTTCAAAAAATCATTTGATATTACTAGGTCCAAAATTCTATTGTGCGAATTGACTATGGTATTATGTTGACGAGAACTGTTAAGCTGTAAAAATGCATCGAAGACATTGAAAAGAGTACTTTTTCTATACAAAACACAGTCTTCCAATTCGGAAATATTAAAATTCCCCGCTAATAAGACTAGTTGTTTAAATTCTACAGCATATTCTAAAAATTCGAAAAACTCAACATAGTCGGTATTCGGTAGGTGTACATGAAAGAGGTATATAAACGGTGAAGATAAAAACTTGAAATTTGTGCAAAATAAAAAATGGGGAACAAGACAATAAAATTTATTGCACTGTGTAAAGGTCACGTTCCTAAATATTTCTGGTAGTATTTCTTGATCGTAACTACTATTCAATGAATGGCACAGAATAACTTGGATTAAGAACCAAAAAAATGGTGTACTGATAAGCAACGTCCAAAAGCACGATAAGGGCCAGTCATGTATCAGTTGGTTGCCGCCGTCTGTTCGGTTAACGTTTTTCGGAAAGGTAAATTTTTCCGATTCAGAGCGTGTCGACAAGGTAATGCTTTATGGATCAGTGGTGCAGCATCTCCAAGATCATGGTACCTTCAACCCTCAAACTTACGATCGTAGCCGTGATAGGACCGAAAGATACTTCAAGCTGAAGAACAAATTTTGGAATTCGTCGAAGAAGAGCCCGACATCAGCACTCATCGACTTGCCACTAAAGTTGGAGTTTTACAGTTTGTAGTGCAAAATATATTAATTATGAAAGAACATGACCTACATCCATACCACGTCAAAAAGTGAAAGCTCTGGAGCCCATTGATTTCCACGTCGTGCATTCTGTTTACGGATCAAGTAGGATTCACTCGCAATGCTGTTTTCAACAGCCACAACACTCACATTTGGTCTTATGAAAATTCACACATTCACACAATGTCCAAAAACTATCGAAGAGTTTCAAGATTGAAAGTCACAGCCACTGTAGTCATTTTACCTATTCGTGCAAACATGTTGCTACCTGCTTAATCCTGTATTACTAGTCAAGGACAACATTTATTGTAAAAAGGTAGTAGCATTCTAAGATGGATCAGTGGCATCGCATCGAAGGTGGTGCATGGGGTTTTGCCCATTACTATGTTACGTGATACTGTCGTCACAATGATTACATATATTTCGAAATCATCCTGTATATGTCCACATTCCTAATATTTTCACAGCTGGTACATTTATGTTCTCAACGGTCATATCAAATGAATCTTTTGGAGCTTACACCTCCTCTAGGTTCCTGAAGGAATGAGAAAACCCATTCGTGTTATACGAGCAATTTTGCTTTCAATAGGTACATAGAGTCACGCTATAATGAAAATGATTCAAGTGAAAATTTTATATTAACATACGTGTTGTAAACGTGTCATTAAACATTCTCTAACGTTTCAGTTTCCTGCCAAGGCCTGACATCAGTATTTCGCGTTCAAGCCGACACTTGCGGCCGCTTATGGGTCCTCGACTCCGGCCTAATCAACGTCACCATCAAACCCAAGCAAGCATGCCCTCCCCAAATATTCATCTTCGACCTCTCCACCAACAAACTCATCCTCCGTTACGAGCTTCCCGAAGAATTCATCAAACAAGACGGCCTCTACTCCAACATAGCCGTAGACATCCGCGACAACGACTGCGTCAACGTCCATGCCTACCTAACAGACGTGTGGAGGTACGGTTTGGTGGTGTTCAGCTTGGAGAAACGAAGAAGTTGGCGAATCACTGACCACCTCTTCTACCCAGAACCGTTAGCAGCAGCTTACAACGTCCACGGTCTTGAATTCGAATGGGTCGACGGAGTCTTCGGGTTGTCTCTAAGTCCCTATAACCGCAAAGCACAAGACAGGATCCTCTACTTTCACCCAATGTCCAGCTTCAGAGAATTCTACGTGAAGACGTCGGTAGTGTGTAACGAGACCGGATGGAGCGATGTTAAAGACGCCTTTAAGGTTATGGGTCAAAGTAGGGGAAGGTTCGGGCATGTTTCTGCGTCTGCTATGGACAGGAATGCAATAATGTTTTTCAATATGGTGACGAGGGATTCAATTGGGTGCTGGGACTCGAGGAAGCCGTATAAGAGGGATAATATAGGTGTGGTTGCCAAGAGTACGAAGAGCTTGGTTTTCCCCAATGACTTGAAGATTGATAATGAGGAGAGACAGAGTGTGTGGATTTTGTCCAATCGATTGCCATTTTTTCTGTACAGAGAACTGAACAAGAAAGAGTATAATTTTAGGATAATGTCGGCCTACACCGACGAAGCCATAAAGGGGACGATTTGTGATCCAGAAGTCAAGCGGTTTGATAGTTTCAGGAGTTATCCGGATGGGGATGATTGTTATTAAAGATTGTAATTAGCACTATATATTAAATTATTACTAAAATAAAGTTATTTTCTAAGTTTGTGTTAGTTTACGTCGAATTTTGGTTCATGACGGGTATTCAGTTGAAAACGTCATCACGTTGGCACTGTTTTTTTTAAGTTTTTGAGTGTCGTTGAGTCGTTGCTTATTTTATTTTATTGATTGGTGTCACAGTTTATGCACAAAATATTTAACTATAAACTATGAACACATTTAAATGAGGCATAATTGTTGTTGAGTGTTTCTTCAAGGTGAAACTACGTAATTTTAAATATTCAAAGAAATGCATTTTCGAATCTGAATAAAACCACGAATAAAATTTCCTCAGATAAGTAATAAGCGATTATAAAATCATAAATATCATAGTTTAATAAATCTTGACTAAAATTGCGAATCCATGTTGATAAGAACATTCTCAAAGTATGAAATGGTTATTTAGATCTAATAAATAAATAAATAAATATTACAGGACAATTTACAATTAAATAAATAAACAGAATATAATATAATAGACTATATAATAATGCGAAATACATTATGACATTGTATACCTTATAATAAACTACATAACATAGATCGATCTAAGTGCGCAAATCATTTCACGGGGTGATGATGTGTTTATATCACACAGGTGAGATATAGAATTGAAACGAGAAGCCATATTAAACACGGGAGATTTAATAAGTATATTTGTATTGGGTTTGCGTAAATAAAACGTTAAGGTTTGTCTGGAATTTAATCGAGGAATCAAGATATTGAAGAGGGACAATAAGTGATTGCAATCAATTTTGTTCCGAAATATAGAGTACAAGAATTTTAGACTATAATGTATCCGCTTAAATTCTAATGAGTCGACATTCAGAGTCTCTAATAATACACTATGACTAAAAGCCCTGCCGGGATAAACATCAAATATTCTGAAATATAAAAACTTAAGAAATCTTCTCTGAATGTTTTCCAACCTAATCTTGTAACAAAAATAATAGGGAAACCATACTACACTGCCATATCCCAATCTAGACCTAACGTAAGAGTAATACAGAGTTTTTAATACTTATGGGTTTTTAAAGGTAGAACTGGTGTTCCTGATTATAAATCCCAAACACTTGATTGACACATTTATGATACTGCTTACATGATCGTTAAAATTAAGTTAGTTATCAAAAATTATACCAAGGTCTTTTATTGTTGAAGTTCTATTAAGTGGAAGAAAGTTACAGTTGTACGCATATAATATGGGATATTTTTTCTTTGAATATGACATTATTTTGCATTTAGAATAGTTGAAAGGGAGTTTATTTACCTCACACCAAGCATGTATTTCATTGACACTGTTCTGCAGATGACGGCAATCCTCCTGTGCATAGATCCTAGAGCTTTCCACAATCACTTATATTAACAATATCATTGATAAAAAGTAAGAATAATAACGGTCCTAGGTTGGAGCCCTGAGGAACCCCCGATGTCGATATGTAGGACGGTGATTTGAATCCATTATAGGTCACATATTGAGATCTACTGTTTAAATAAGACTTAAAAATATTCACTAAGGGACAGTTAAATCCAAATAAAACAAGTTTATTTAAAATAATAGTGTAATCAATTTTGTTGAACGCCTTCGAAAAATCCATATACCTAAATAACGTCCACTTGCTCCTGATCATCAAGGACATCAGCAATATATTGTGTAAAACAAGTAAGATTAGAGACAGTAGAACGTTGCTCCATGAATCCGTGTTGAAAACTAGAGATATAAAGACGACAAGAAGTATATATATGTGAGTAAATAGTCATGTCGAAGACTTTAGAAAAATTAGAGAGCACAGAAATTGGTCTATAATTAGTAAATAAAGATGCATCGCCACCTTTTGGGACAGGACATACATGTGCAATTTTCCATACCTCTGGAAAGGTAGAAGTCGAAAGAGATAAATTAAATAATATCTTCAGTGGTTGAACTAGCAAAGTAAGTAAGTAAGTAAGTAAGTAAGTAAGTAAGTAAGTAAGTAAGTAAGTAAGTAATCTTTATTGTGCCAAAAAAACAAAAGTTTTCACACTCGTCAAAACACAAAAAAAAAATCCAAAAGAATAGAAATATATTGTGTACAAAATACCTACATAATATACAACATACTTATACGTTATGTACAAAAATTTACAAAATGCTAAAAAATATAATCTAAGTATTCGTTGAAACTGTAAAAGCTATTGCTAATTAAAAAGACTTAACTAACTTTAGACATTGACTGGGTGGAAGATTACGGTAACTATTAGGCAATTTATTAAAAAATATTATGCAGAAATAGTTTGTGGCATTTCTACAACGAGAAATCCTAAATTTTTCAACTGAGAGATTAGTGGTCCTTGTATTATACTCATGAAAAGAATTTAATGAAGTAAATGAGTTAATGTTGTGTATTACATATTTAAGGCAATAATAAATATACATATAGACAAGGTAAAGTCAAAATGTTTAAAGATTTAAAGTAGGACCTGCAATCATCTCGATATCCAATACTAGCAAGAACTCGTACTGCTCTCCGTTGAAGCCTAAAAAGATTGTTAAATGAGGAACAATGCAATAATATTTTTTTCCAATTTTAATCGTTAAAATTATGTTTTAATCATTGTTTAGTAACCATGAAATTTGGTCTTCGTTCATACTGTGATCAAAAAATTTTAATCATAAGTGATGTAAAAACTTTGATCATTGGTCAAAAGTATCGTATTCTTTACGATATATTTCTTTAAATTTTGTAGTCAGCAACTATCCAGCTGCAAACTGGGCTTCTTCTTCAACATCTGGAGGCGTTGTATCCATTTCTTCTACCAGTTCTTCCATACTTTCAACTCAAAAACACCACGTAAACGGAATCAGACCATTCGAGTAAAATTGTTGATTTATTTGTCGCCGTCACTATAGATATTAAATTTATCTCCGGCAACTATGTGCATTCGACGATCTTTGATATGAACGAAACTTTTAAAAATTGTTGTTTTTTTATTTTACTTTTAAAATTGTTGTTTTTTATTTTAACTTTCAAAATTGGAAAAAATGGTATAGGGGAACGAGGGGCTTGTTGTAACAGGGGTAAGTTGTAACACTAAATTTTTTCCCAGAATTTAAACTCTTTAACGTCAGGTTTTTTACTGAATTTAATTTTTGCACCATAAGACATCATGTCATCACAACCACTGTTCCTCCAGCCAACGCAGTGAGTGGATGTGTGCACGTGCTTCGTTTTGGCCAAGTAATGTAAAATATTGCTTTAGTAAAATTTGGTTTTTCGTATCAGTTATTAATTAATTTAAAACGTTTAGTTTTGCATGTAGCTAAAAAATTACTCAACTTTAATACTCCTTACACATTTTGACGCTAAGCCACATAATTTTGTCGAAATGTAATTAAATGTAGAAAATTGTACTACGGGGCATGTTGTAACAATACGCTTGGGGCAAGTTGTAACATGTTACAACTTATCCCAAATTCACTTCTACAAATTTCTTACCTAGCTTACGAAAAGCGAGCCAAAATTTTGACCTATGCCATATATTGCTTTCCAGATATATTAAGAAAAAGGAAGACAAAACTCAAATCTTTAATGTTGACTCTTCTTCTAAAAGTTTAGTTCAGTTTTACTGAAAAAAAATTGTATATAATGAAGTGTTGTGTTGATTTTTGAAAAATAAAGTCTAAATATGTATCAACATCAGCTTTATTTTTACTGGTACTACCTGTCTCATGGCTGTTACAACTAGCCCCAACCACGGGGCAAGTTGTAACACTGCACTTTTTTTAAGAAAATGCCTGGTGTGAAGTGAAGATGAAAAATTTTGACCTTTTGCCTGTTCAGTCCAATAGGGGAATAGTTAGACTACCGATAGATACTTTTATAATGGTCAAACAGCTAATAGATACCAAATTATATTCGTTTTCCTAAAAACTGTTACAACAAGCCCCTCGTTCCCCTACTTACTTCACGCGTGAGGGAACTGAATGTTAATCACTCGTGGACCTTACCTCACTCGCCTACAGCTCGTGAGTTAATTGGATCCACCTGTGATTAAAATTCTGAATCGCTCACTGGCTGAGTAATATATGTACTATTAAAAATTAAATGAAACATCTTCCGGCTTTTATTATCTAAACTATTATTCTTGGTATTCTATTTTCAGGTAAACTTAGTTGGTAGTGAAAATTTAAACTCTCCAACTCATGTAACCGTTGACAAAAATGTCTCAAAAAATGCATTTTGGGCAAAAATGCAAAACTGTTTAAAATGTGAGTTTCCAACATACTTAATTAACATAATGAGTCTTTGTGGATTTGATAATTCAATTGCAATAACCCAAATTGAAATGTCAGATATTCATGATATGGAAAAGCTTGCACGGTCAGACATGCAGTCCATTATTGAAGAAAATTCTTGTATGTCTGACTTTTACGGCATATATCAGCATAGTAAGGACAAGTTCAAAATACTTCCGGGCCATGTGAAAATAATTTTTTCAATGAAGAACTACCTGCTATCCAACCCTAAAGAAGATTTTTCCAGATGTATCCCTAATGACAAGAGTGAGAAAGCACCAAGGAAGGTATACACTACAAGTCAAATTTTGTCTGAGAAAACAACTGAGGAGACAATTGATGAAAAAGAAAGAATTGTAAAACAAATTCATACTTGGGTCACAAACACATTGAAGAGCGATAAGAATAACACCATGCAGAAAATACAAGAACTTCTTTCATTATCCTCTTTGGATATTGTACTTGAGGGAAATAATGCAAAAATTAAATGCGATATGTGCAAAAATCGAAGTAAAAATGGAAGTTTTGTCACGATAGTAAGCTCACTGTTGAAAAATGGAAGGAGTAGGATTATTTCTAATTTCGTGCGGCATGTAACACTACATCATATTGAGATGAATAACAGTAATAAAAGTGGGGATAAAAACAAGCTGATAGAAAATAAAAAAGAAGAAAAGAAGCAGATTTCAATTTTGCAACATATCGTTGTTAAATCTACAAATAAGCCATGT